ATGGCAATCATGAGAGCCTGTTATCCATATTTGGTGCTGGCGTTCCTACTGTTGCCAATCATAAGTTGTGATAACACTCTCAACAATAATGTTCGTCTTAATGACGAGAATCCTAATAAAATTAGCGATAATAACCCAAATGACAAGAGTTTAAATCTAGAGCTCACAATGGACTCAGATCTGGTCGACAACACCATTATTTCCTCCTTATATCAGCAACAGGTCTGTCGAAGAAATATGGTCAATATGGTTTATGAGTTATGCAGACCTTACTTCAGAGCAGGTATGACAACACTTATTAATAGGTTATTGTGTTATTGTGCAAATTATTATACTAATTATAATCAAACATTTTTACCTCAATGTATGGCCTTTTATATATACATTATATATACATGGCCTTTTAATTATTAAATATGACATTTTAACATAATTAACACTTTCTATAAATAGCAAACAAATATAATATAATAGTAAAAGAATCTATATTTAAAGTATATATTTTTATAAAACCAACTTTAATTGATAGATTTTTATAAAATTTGTTTTAATTCAATTTAAAAGTACAATGCATAGTTAAAACACTATTTCATATTGTTTACTTATAAAATTGCTTACTACTTATAAACTATAAGAATTTTATATATTAAGAAGTTTATGAATAAAATTGTCTTCTCATTGCTATTATAAATATTATAAATACCATGTATTATCTTATACTTAATCTGAAATTTATATTTTTGTGTCAATGTCTGAGAGACTGTTTTATTTACAGCAATAGTACTTTTATGCTGTACAATACTGAACATGATTGCAAATAACAATTTGGCAGACAGACTAATTAGTTTGTTTACAAAAGTATAATTTTTTCTAAATTACAATATTATCTCAAGTTACAATATAATCTTTAATTTTATAATTAAAAAACTTATTTTGTAGAATCATGTTTTAAATAGACATTTTTAAGATAAAAACCAAATTTCTAAATTGATCAGGATTGTTTATTATATACACATACAACACTGTACAGTACAATATGCCAAGAAACTATCATAGAATTTTTACATTGGTTTATGGTATTTACATATTTATTATTGCAACAGATCTAATAATATAACTAGAGTGAGTAATTAAAATAAGTAAAATAGGTGTTAATTGTGTATGAATTATAAATAATATTTAAATAAATACAATAATTGTAAATATGAATTGAATACATATATTGTGTTCATACTTGTAGTTAGAAGACAAATGTGCGATAATATGTTATATCCATTCAAGTCATTGTCCAAAATTGACCGACGAATGTGTCGCCAAAAGAGTAAGTAATTTCGGTGTTGTGTAGTGTTTAAAATGCTGTTATTGTTTATTGATTACTTTTACAATTATATCCATTATTATTTTAAATTATGTTTATTGATTATTTTACAAATGTCATTAAAATATAATCCTTATGTTATCGTTTTATATATATTCTGTAGAATATTCTGTTAATGATGGATATTTATTTTAACATCCATAATTTTTTTTCCTCTAAGGATTAGTTTTGAATACAAAATAAAAAGATGACTTTCTCTAAAATTCTATTAAAACAATATAATTTACAGATTTATAATTGACTTTTAGATTGTTATATCAAAATCATCATAATTCAACAAATAGCACTAGATAACATATTTGAGTCCATATGGTACTTGGAATATGGTAGATGGTATTTGAGTACATTATAGAATAAAGTAAAATAAAAAAGAAAATATGTTTATGCGGCCCATTTGATCACGACGGCAGTGATATACGAGCGGGTCATCTGACGCAAGCACAGGGATTATAACATTACAATTTTGGTGAATGTCATAACTGATGTGAAGCCAGTTTTCAATGCATTCAATCCTATTGCTGCGGTCGGAGATTTGTCCATAACTGCTCGGTTGTGGCCATTTGCATGCCTTGTGATAAGAATACAAGTCTCCTCATTGTTGTGACCACCACTATATGGCGCCCGTCGGCATCGGTTGGGCGCGTAAACGTGTTTTCCGCGTTAAGTCATACTTTTACAGTATTGTGAAAATAACTATTAATGGCTATCAGCACTTAAATCAAATGTAATGCCACTGTATATGCGCTTCCTTTGATTCTAACTTGTTAAATAAGTTTTCTACAGAACGATTTATTTTTATTCATTTAATTCTCTCTCTCTCTCTCTCTCTCTCT